AAGTTTTTGTTTATTATTATTCAAAATTTTATTATATTCAGAAAAACTTTATATTATAAGATAAAATAAAAAGCCAAATATAATCAAAAGCAATTTCACTTAACAAAGATAATTGATAAAAAACCTTATTTCAAAACTTATTTAAAGTATAAAATTTGATTATACAAGATTGAAATTACAATAAACTGCCTATTCTTAACTAAATCAACTAAAAGATTGCTAATTTTTAGATATAAGAATATAATATAATATTATGACTAATAGTAGAAAGCAAAATATACTAAGAATCAAAAATACAGACTTTTTAAAATAAAGAACATATAGAATAATTACTAATATATTTAGAAAAATTTATTATAAGCAGCTTGATATACAGAATAAAATAAAGAAAAAAATAAACTAAGTTCTGTATTATGTTTAAAAAATATTTTAAGTATAAGTTAAACTAAAGTTGTTAATGATTTTTCTATATTAATTGTACTTTTTAATTGCTCAATTCAACTTTTAACAAATAAAAATACTAAAATTTTTCAGTTTGAAAAAAATCTAAATCTTATATAAATTGTTGTCTATAATTTTTAATAAATACCAAATTTATTTATACATATTCATATTCTTATTGATTATTAAGAATCATTATGATTTTTTTTATTATAAAAAAGATGTTTTTTTTTATATTCTTGAGTATAAAAATCTTAAATAAATTGTAAGTGTTCTTCTATATAAAAGGTTATTTGAAACTAAGAGTTTTAATATATTGCATTAGGTAATAAATTATTATTTAAATAAAAAAACTCCATTTTGTCACAAAAACTTAATATATCTTGTATATTAACTTTTTGTATAAATTAAAGTCTTCTTAATTTTAGCTAATAAATTTATGATCTACATTAAAAGGTTCAATAGATACCTATGTTTTGCTAAATAAATTTTAAAAAAAACTTTGTATAATTTATTTTTAATTTATTAAATAATAAAAATTATATATATATTTTTTTTTATAAATAAATAATGCTATTGCTATATTAGCTTAATTAGATTTAAAAAATATGTTAAACAAGACTGATGCATTATTTAAAACATAGTTGGCCTAAGCATTTACAAACATATTTTTTTATATATACTACAGAACCTGATACAATTAATTATATATTATAAAATAAGATATTTTAATTAACCAAAGTACAAACAATTAACTAGTTAATCATTAAATTGTTAACTATATCTAAATAATCTACAACCACTTACTTGGTTAAGTTATAACAGTTAAACAAAATATTAACAACACTTTATAACTTTCTATTAGTAGTTTCATTAACAATTAATAAAAGTTTTTTGTTATTAAACATTTGTATAATTGTAATTAAGTAATTTTCAAAAACTCTAAGAAGATAATTATGATGCAAGACATTAATTAAAGAAATATTACTATCTTTATATAAATATTTTTTAAACTATAGTTTAAGCTTGTTTATCTTTTCTAGAAAAATATCAGCTTGAATAAATGCATAAATTAAATTATTAATAATGGTTTTTTTGGATTCACTTGCTTTAACTACAAAATTTAAAATAGGTTGTTTGGTTTTGCTTGAAAAGCAAAATGCTTTTTGTTTTAAATTTTGATATGCATTTGTATTGATATAAGCTATAATAGTTGCTTTCATTTTTCAATTTACAGATTAACAACAAAATTAGTACATCAAAAAACTAGCATCAATAATAAAATTATTTTGAAATTTGTGTATATAAAAATATATAGTAACTTATTTAAAAGACATTTTATTGTTTTAAATATAATGAAAAGCTTCAATAAAATATCAAAAATATATATATATATATATATACTTTTTTTTTATTAAAAAAAAGTTTCTATCTAAATTATAAAATAATCATAAAAAAGCTTTATATACCAATTTATAAGTCTTTAAATTAATTTTAACTAGCACTATTCATAATTTTAACTGTGAGTATTATATAATATTACATTACAAAAAATTTGTAAAAATATTAATTTATTTACAATTTAATTCAAAAATATCAATTTATATTGATCTAAATAAATCAATATTTTTACTAGTTCCTAATACTAGTATAATTGGCATTACAGATATTCTAATCCAATCATTGGTAACAGTTGTTATAATATAAATAAATAAATATATATATATATATATTTTAACTTTGATGACAATGTCAATTGGTTTATTAGCTTTAATTTGATATAGTACAAATTTAAGGTTACATTTTAGGATCGATTATTACTAGTACTATATACTATCTAATTTTATACCACTGATTTTATTTGGTTACCCATATGGCACCTAAGTGCATATTTGCTGCATGCCTGTATGCAGTTATCTTAACAACCACTTGTGATCAGAGCATACCATTAAACTGCTACACAGACAAGGATATCTACTGAACTTAATACAGTATTCCAAATGCCAGAAGTACTGTCTTCTGTAAATCATACCTATATAAGGTGCAGACAATAGAAACAGCCTATTTTTACATATAAACATTTTAAATAAATCAGATTTTAAAAAAACATGATCAACAAAAATTTTGATCTAAAATAGCATTTTATATTTTCGGAAATTCTAGAATAGCTAACTGATCTATGAATATATGTATGTGTAACAATACTGATAATCACTAACTTAATTTTTTTTTCGTTAATTTTTTTTTAATATTTAATTTTTTTTTTAAATTTTTTAATGCTAAATTTTTTTTAATTCTAATAAAATTTTTTTTTAACTTTATGTAATAATTTTTTTTTAACTCTATGTAATAATTTTTTTTTAACTTTAATAAAAATTTTTTTTTAACTTTTTAACTTTAATAAATTTTTTTTTTTTTAACTCTAATAATTTTTTTTTAACTCTAATTTTAAAATAATTTATAAATCCAAAAAATTATTTGAATTAAAAAGACTACCAGTAATGATCTTTTGGATTGTTGGTAACAAATCTTTAAATTTGTAGATTGGGTTCAAGACTACTGATTATAACATTGTATACTATTGGCTATAATAGATATATAGTGAATGGATCTCTACAGATGTAATGAGATAATAGATTGGTTATGATGGTTTTGTGCAGAGTAAGGGCACATGACAGATTTGTAAAAATAATTTAGAGAGTTTTTTTAAATTGGATATGTTTCTAATGAAGATTTTTTTTAATATTAATGGATTGAGATCAAAAGCTACTAATGAAGTATTCTTAAGTTTTAGTGAGTTGGATTCAAAACTACCAAAGTAAGATTTTTTTTTTGGCTCTATTAAAAAACTGCTAGTATTTTTGCCATTGGTGAATGTGTTGTGAATGATCTCTATGGAAGTAACGAGGTAATAGGTTGGTTATAACAGTTATGCATGGAGTAGGAGTGCATGACAGCTTTGTGAAAATATTTGGCTTTTTTTAAAAAAATTGAATTTAGTTTAAAACTATCATTGATGAAGTTTTTTTTTTAATATTAATTGATTGAGTTTAAAAGTTACTAGTGAAGTATTCTTAAGTTTCAATAGGTTGGGTTCAAAACTACCAAAATAAAGTTTTTTTTTGGCTTTATTAAAAAACTGCTAGTATTTTTTGCTATTGGTGAATGTGTTGTGAATGATCATTATGGATGTAATAAGATAATAGGTTGGTTATGACAGTTATGCACAGTGTAGGACATATGACAGCTTTGTGAAAATAATTAGTTTTTTTTTTAAATTAGATTTGGTTCAAAACTACTACAAATGAAGATTTTTTTTAATATTAATGGATTGAGTTCAAAAGCTACTACCAAAGTATTCTTAAGTTTTAGTATGTTGAATTCAAAACTACCAAATTGAAATCTTTTTTTCGATTCTAATTAAAAAACTGCTATTATTTTTTGCTGTTAGAGTGAATGTATTGTGAATGATCTCTATAGATGTAACAGGATAATAGGTTGGTTATGACAGTTATGTACGGAGTAGGGGTGCATAACAGCTTTGTGAAAATAATTCATTTTTTTTAATTTGAATTTGGTTTAAAACTACCACTAATAAAGTTTTTTTTTTAATATTAATAGATTGAGTTCAAAAGCTACTAGCGAAGTATTCTTAAGTTTCAGTAGGTTGGGTTCAAAACTACCAAAGTGAAGTTTTTTTTTTTTGACTCTAATTAAAAAACTATTATTATTTTTTGCTGTTGGCATGAATGTGTTGTAAATGATCTTTATAGATGTAACAGGATAATAGGTTAGTTACGACAGTTATGCATGGGGTAGGGGCGCATAACAGCTTTGTGAAAATAATTGGATTTGGTTCAAAACTACCACTAAATGAAGTTTTTTTTTTAATATTAATGGATTGAGTACAAAAGCTACTAGTGAAGTATTCTTAAGTTTCAGTAGGCTGGATCAAAACTACTAAAATGAAGTCTTTTTTTTCGATTCTAATTAAAAAACTGCTATTATTTTTTGCTGTTGGCATGAATGTGTTATGAATGATATCTATGGACATAATGGGGTAATAGGTTAGTTATGACAGTTATGTGCAGGATAGGAGTATATGACAGATTTAAAATATATATATTTTTTTTAAGTGGATTTGGTTCAAAATACCACTAATGAAGTTTTTTTTAATTTTAATAGATTGAGTTCAAAAGCTACTAGTAAAGTATTTTTAAGTTTTAGTGAATTAGATTCAAAATTATCAAAATAAAGTATTTTTTTGGCTCTAATCGAAAAATTGCTATTATTTTTTGCTGTTGGAGTGAATGTGTTGTGAATGATCTTTATAGACATAACAGGGAAATAGGTTGGTTACAGCAGTTATACACAGGGTAGGAGTGTATGACAAATTTGTAAAAATAATTCAGTTTTTTTTAAAGTGGATTTGGTTCAAAACTACTACTAATAAAGTTTCTTTTTAATTTTAATAGATTGAGTTCAAAAGCTACTAACAGAGCCATCTTAAGTTTCAGTGGGTTAGGTTTAAAACTACCAAAGTGAAGTTTTTTTTAGCTCTAATTAAAAAAAACTATTATTTTTTGTTGTTGAAGTGAATATGTTGTGAATGATCTCAATGAATGTAATGGGGTAATAGGTTGCTTACGACAGTTATGTGCAGGGTAGAGGCATATGACAAATTTGTGAAGGCAATTTAAAAAATTTTTTTAAGTGAATTTGGTTCAAAGCTACTACTAATGAAGTTTTTTTTTTAATGAATCTAATTCAAAAGCTATTAGTGAAGTTTTAGTATGTTGGATTCAAAACTATCAAAGTGAAGTTTTTTTTTTCCAACTCTAATTAAAAACTGCAGTATTTTTTTATTGTTGGAGTGAATGTGTTGTGAATGATCTCAATAGACATAACAGGGTAATAGGTTGGTTATGACAGTTATACGCAGAGTGTGACACATAACAGATTTGTGAAAATAATTTTTTTTTTAAATGAATTTGGTTTAAAACTATTACTAATATCTGAAGATATGGTGTAGTGGTTGTGTTTTTGGGTTTCCAATCACAAGGAAGACAAAAACCATATTAGGATTACAATTGAAGGTTAATTGTAATCTTTTTAGAATGCCAAGTTAGAATACTTTTGATGAAATTTCAGTTAAAAAAAAGAATCCTTGAGAAAGGAATATTTTTGATAAAATTCTGATTAATTGGGACATTTATAGTGAAATTTTAGATATTTAAAAAACTTCTAGTTAGAATGAATTCTTGTATAAAAATTTTAATTGTTTAGTAACTTTGATAATAAATATATAGTAGTTTGAGATAGTTAATAAATAATTAATTATGTATCCTTAATTGTAAGAGATTTTACAATTTTAGAAGGTCTTATTGGTTGAAAATTAGAAAATAAAGGAATGCTGCTAATATTTTATGATGATCTTGTTATAGTTAACAAAACAAAATTATTTTTTTTAATTTTAATGTATTGAGTTTAAAAGTTTCTAGCAAATTTATTTTAAGTTTTAAAAAATTAGGTTTAATATTATTAAAGTGAAGTTTTTTTTAGTTCTAATTAAAAAATTATTATTATTTTTTACTATTAGAATAAATATTATAAATAATTTTTATAGATATAATAAGGTAATAGGTTGGTTATAATAATTATATACAAAGTAAGAGTATATAACAGATATATAAAAATAATTTGTTTTTTTAAATAGATTTAGTTCAAACTATTACTAATAAATTTTTTTTTAATTTTAATAGTTTAAGTTTTAATAAGTTAAATTTAAAATTTCTAAATAATAGTTTTGGTTTAATTTTAATTAAAAAATTAATATTTTTTTTTGTTAAAATAAATGTATTATAAATGATTTTTAGAAACATAATAAGATAATAGATTAGTTATTTTTTATTTCATTAATTGTTTATTATTATAAGATTTTATTATTAGGTATATATAATTTAATTTAAAAATATTTAAACTAGTTTTTTTATATTAAGAATTTTGTAAATAATATTTTATTAGTATAAATTTTTATTTTTATTAAATTAAAAATTAATATATTGTATATAATATTTAAAAAAATAATAAATATTTTATATTAAAATATAATTATATAATAAAAAAATTTATAAAATTTTATTTATAGTAAATTAATATTTATATAAGTTTATTTATATTTTATTGGTTTAGCAATAGTAGGCATTGGACATAAATCATCCTTTTTATTAGGATCTTGTATATGATTTCTTATTTGTTCATATAAATACCATTGACATTCTGCACTAAAACCAGGTAATTTTTTTTCAACTAATTGATTAAATTTATCTTTTTGCTTAATTTTTTCAATTTGTATTGTTGTTTTTTCTCTATTTGAAGATGTATTAATTTTAATTTTTCCTTTGTCTAAACTACTAAATTCAAAATAATATTGTTTTAATATATCTGGAATTGTTATAAAATTTTGTTTTAGCCAATCTGTCCATTCATAAAAATGTACAACTTAATTATTTTTATTATCAAAAACTGTTTGTGCAATATTAAATCTACCAGGTATTGAATTTTGAACTATTTTAACTAAATCATTAAGATTATCTACTTCAGATTTTCTTAAAAGTAATTTTATAAGTCCAAAAAATCCATCTGGACTAAATTTAGTATGTCCTGCAATTATAAAACAATAAGTTATATTATCATGTAATTCAGTTAAAACTTTTCAAGCTAAATATGCTATCATTGCATTATTTTTGTTTTGTCCTGAACAATTATCAGCATAAATTATTAATCTTTTTTCACTTAATCCATGTAGTTCAAAATAATTATAAACTAAAGAAATAACAGTATTAGCACCTTTACTGACTAATTCATTTTCTTTAATAAAATAATTTACCTAAAAAATATAAATATATTAGTATAATATAAAATTTAATAAAAAATATTAATATTTACTTGACATGAAAATGCATTATTACATATTTCAAATAAATGAACTTTATATAAAGATTTAAAATAAATTTCACCCTAATAATAAAATAAATAATTATTAGATTATTATTTATAATTAAATTTTTATAAATTTAATAAAATAATTTACTTCTTGTTGAGATGAATATGGTAATTGAATTTGTTGTGCATAATTCCAAGAAATATGAGCTATAATATCTAAAGAATTAGGTTTTCCAGAATGTATTATATTTTTAATTCCAAATTTTTGAATATCTTCATATGCTAGTTTAATACTTTGTCTAATAAAATTTTTAATTATAAAAAAAATTAATATTAATGTATTAAAATAAAATAAACAAATCTATTTTTATAAAATTTAAAAATACTTATAGTTATCTCGCTCTTCATTTGCCTATTTAATATGATTATGCCATTTCAAAACTTTGGTTTCTTTTTCTTCAGTTGTTCAATAATTAGCATTAAATCTCATATTTTTACATTTAAAACATAAATCACTACATGGAGTTAATTTTTTAATTTGTGGCAAAATTTTTTCCAAATTCTAATAAATGTTTTTAAACTAACTCCAAATTAATTATTAGTTTTAATTGCTTCTAAATATTGTGTATATAAAGATAAATAAGTAACATCTGCTGATAAATATATAATTGCAATAGTATTATCTCAAAAATTTCATTTTATAAAAGTTTAAATTAATAAATAAAATTTTAAATATTATTTTATATTAAAAAGTTACCTGAAGATGATAAACCATTTTGTTTTGCAAAATTTCCTATAAAAGAAATAACTTTCATTACTGTTTCTAAAGATATTGCTCGATTGCTAACTTTTTCAGTATTTGAATTAATTCATAAATTAATATCATGTTCTACAAAATGATCTCTTAAATTTTTCCATCGAGTATCTCCTAGTTCATAAATTATTTTAAAAGCATTTAAACATTGATTTTCCTTCAAAAGTATATTCTGTAGTAAGTTTGGATTTTTTTGAATTTCTAACAATTTCAGGCCGTTTAGTTGCAACAATTATACCTAATAAATACATATCTTGAAATGACTTAGAAAGATTTTTAAAATTTAAATATCTAGTTAAAGCCATAGAATACTCAACTTGGGTTTGTAAACAATTTTTTTCACAACAATTTTTTTCAAAAGATTTTTTAAAATTATTTTCATTTTCTAATAAACTTGCATTTTCTTCTAATTTTTGATTATCATCATCTTGATTTTCTAAAGTATCTATTGTTTTATAATAAATTGTTTTAAATTTTAAATATTTTTCTTCAGTCTATATTTCATTTTCTAAAAGATTATTTTCTATATTTTCTAAATTTTCAGATGTTTCAAATAAAGATAAATTATCATTTTCTTGAACTAAAAATTGTGATTGTAAATTTGAAAGATCTATTTGTAATTGTGTATTTTCTATATGAGTTTCTTCAAAAATATTTTTATTTAATAAAAAAATTGACATTTTTACAAAATAAAATTTTTTAAAAAATATTTATTATAAATCTATTCACATTATATAAAATTTATATTATTTTAACTAAATAAGAATTAATTAATTTTATTATAATACAAATTACAATCATTCAGTAAACAAAGAAATCTAATTTAAACAAAGAATATCTAGTATTATATATTGTTACAGGGTTGCAGCCTTCTTGGTACAATACAACTAAATAACAAGGTCACCTAGTATAGTGATTGACTATTACAAATATATACAGGATGAAGGTGTAGTAGTTCACTTTACTATACAGCAGTAGGCAAACGGTTTGAGATAATAACAGTATATAGATTAACTTTTTATTAATAACACATATGGTGACAACCTTGCCTGTAGGAATTACCCTAGAGGGGGAATATCACACTTTATAATTAAAAGATCATTAGGTCTAGGTTGAAGTATAGAAACTTAGAATTAGCAGAGAAGGAGAAAAGGTACCCTTATATATCTTTTTATCTAGTGAGAGTAGTGGGAATTTGAGTGACATCTCTTGATACTGTACTTGGGGTAGTAGAGATTGTACAGAGGCAAGTAGAGTTTGTATAGAAATAGTTGGGACAATGTTTATGTGTATTTGTCATTTGTACTTAAAATACTTGGAGCATGTGTCAAGGTACTTAAGTCTGTGCAGAGACAGTTGAGAATTGTGTAGGAACACTTAGAATTGTGCAGGAACACCTGGGGATTGTGTTGGGATACTTGGGATTGTGCAGAGATACTTGGGGATTGTGGAAGGGATACTTGGGAATTGTTGTACTGTGTTATTTGGCACAGTAAATTGTACTAGAATATATGAAACTTGTGTAAGGGTACTTGGGGTTTTGTAAGACAATAATGACATCATAGATGTTACCCAATGTCATGTGTCTATATCACACTTCTAACAGCCAATTAAGATTCTATTTTCTAACTACTATATACTATAATATAACTATGCTAATAATTAA